AAATGTTTTATTAAGAGTTTTTTTTTACAAACAATTAAGGATAAACTGGATTTCGCAACTGACAAATAACGGCTTTTAACCACGTTTTGAAATATTCATTTTGAATGTATTTCGGAGTCTAGTTACTGTAACCACAAAAAGTTCTGGAAAAAAGAAAGAAAATGTGCAAAAGGWCAATAAGCTGACTATACGCGCGCGTCGTCTTTCTGAGCCTACAATCCTATTTCAGCGGTAGTTATTCACCCGCATTGCATTGTGGTAGTCTGTCCACACGAGGGCAGTTGTCGAGGMTGAAAAATGGTAAATATTTGTTATTTTTTCGATTATTTCTGTCAGGAATTTAGTTCTAATACTTAATTYAAAGATTAAACTACATATTGTCTTTATAGGCGTCTGGAAATTTCCCTACCTCGACGAACRCCGTCACTGGTTTCCCGACACAACAAACAATGCAGACCTTCGCTGTGAGTTCGATTTATTGAAACTTACTCAACTTTAAATTGATACGACTTTTAAACTAGGTTATATCAAGATTTTGAGTAGGAACTTCTTTGCATTGTTAAATCAACTTAATCTATGCAAAGTTGTATATATCATACATGTCTATGGAGTAATGGGGTCATCAGCTGATATACTAAACTCAGTTTATATTTGATTAAGTTAAGCTTAAGTAACCTTAACTTAAATTCAGCTAAACCTGAGGTTTTTCTAGTCAAATCAGCGATGATGATTGCGTTATGTTTAACTGTTAGAAGTGTTTTTTTTTGTGAATTCAAGCTACTAAAATACATATTCTACAAACACAGTGGTTTACCCTTCATAACATGATGCTTGATATGAAGCCTTACATGTACATACATGTAGCTTATAAGATTTTGAACYACAGTTTAACAATGTTTACTGTAAATCTTTTCAAGGCAATGCAAGTTCCTGGTATGCCAGTCCAAGCTGGCTATCCAGGGATGCCTGGTTATCCTCAGGTTAGTGGTCAACCAATGGCTTTTCCTGGATTGATCCCTCGTTTTCCTGGTCAGATGTTGCCACAGCAACTACAGCAGCTACAGGCAATGCAAGGATTTCAACCTGGTGCTGGCGTAACACCAGCAGTTATGGTACCACAAGCTATAATTCCAGCCGCRGTTAGTACAGCTTCACCTCAAACAGTGCAAAGCCCCCAAACACAAGCAACRGCACAGAACAGTGAAACTGATAARAAAGAAATTAAACCTGCTGAAGAAAAGAAAGAAAAAGTGAAAAAGATTAAAACACCAAAGAAAAAGACACCATGGACAGAACATAATGCACCGGATGGCCGTACATATTTTTATAACAATGARACAAAAGTATCAACTTGGCAGAAACCCACAGAATTAAAAACCCACTCTGAGGTACAGTCTTTATACAATTTCAATTTACATGAAAAAATATTATTTATAGTTGTATAATTATGTAGACTACATATCACTAGGAATACATGAAGTAGAAGTAGAGGAAAGATATATATTCCTTAGAAAGGAGGTTATTRCTCGTTATAGCCATAGCCTAGATAGGCTTTAGTTCTACCTCTTTGTCAATCTACCATTTGGGAATCACACAGGAAGCCCAAGAAATTACCCACAATGCTTTATGTCAATTGTCAAATGTATATGGTGATTACTTCATCAAAGGTGCTAGAGACAAGATATAGTGCCATATATGTGTTGTTTTGGTGACCTTTGCATATCTTGAATAAAATGAGCCAAAAGATCTTTGTTAAACCAAAGACTGATACAAATTAATATACTTTAATACCCGACAACAMATCAATTCCTAGCCAGCCCAACTTCATGCTATTATGGTGTCTAGTTATTATTGTGTTGTAGTTTGACTGTAATTGAACTTTTTGTTGTAGTTGTTGCTGGACTCTTGTCCATGGAAAGAGCACAAATCAGATACAGGAAGGATATACTATCATAATACTGAAACCAAGGAATCAACATGGTCAACTCCAAAAGAACTTCAAGATCTCAAAGATATGGTCAAAAAGGAATTAGAAGAAGAAAAGCAAGAGAGTTCATCTGAGGATGAAGAAGAAAAGCCTGCAGCTGCTGAAATCAAAACTGAATCAGTTAAACARGAGGGCTCATCAACGAATGGTACAACTACAAGTGAGCAGCCTTCGCCGGCAGTTGTTGAGAAAAAGGAATTCATTTATGAAACTAAAGAAGAGGCTAAGCAAGCCTTCAAAGAATTACTGAGGGAAAAAGAAGTATCAACAAGTGCTTCTTGGGACACTGCTATGAGAATGATCATCAATGATCCAAGGTATGGAGCCCTCAAGAAAATGAATGAAAAGAAACARGCATTCAATGAATATAAGACACAACGAGCCAACGAAGAAAAGGAAGAACACCGCAAAAAGGCGAAGAAAGCCAGAGACGATTTACGAGCCTTTTTGGAAAACAACAAAAAGATGAACTCTTCTGTACGATGGCGATATGCCTGTGATATGTTTGAGGGAACCACTGAATGGGAAGCAGTTAATGAGCGAGACCGAAAGGATGTATTTGATGATGTGATATTCTTTATTGCTAAGAGAGAAAAAGAGGAAGAAAAAGAGCAGAGAATTAGGAATAGAGCACTGATGTTGCAAGTTTATAACAGCATGCCYAGTATAACCTTCCGCACACTTTGGTCTGAGGTATGTCAGCATATTGTAATGTTATAGACTTATTATAAGGTGTACAAATGTATAAGATGAATTATTTTTCTTATATGAAGGCTTTACAGATGGTCAGGGAACACCCATCATACAGAGAGGATGATGAAATCAGAGGTACTGTACTAGTGATTAGAATCCRTGTCGATCTGTACCTTTTGAGATACATTGAGATGATTATAAGTCCGAGGAAGGAAAACATTGTTGAAGAAACATCRGACTTATACATTTAATCATCTCAATGTTCTAGTGATTGTTTTGTCCAGTTATTTAGCCAGTAATTTAGCAATCCAATATGCRATGTAATGTGAATATTTGTGTTGTATTTCCTTTTGTTTTTGAGGGTTTCGATAGTAGCTGGTAAGCAGTGAAAATCAGAAGAAAATCACTAGTTATTGCTTAGTTAATTATTGTTTTATTGTTTACACAGCTGAAGAACCTCTACCTTAATTTCTACTGAGATCCCTAACTAGTTTTCTGAATGGTGTGTTTTATATTTCAGATGTTGACAGGGAAGATATGGTGATTTCATTTGAGGAGCACATCAGAGGMCTTGAGCAGGAACATGAAGAAGAAAAGCAAAGAGAAAAGAATAGATTACGCAGACAACAGAGAAAAAACAGAGAGGGTTTTTTGGTCTTGTTAGATGAATTACAAAAAAGAGGAAAACTGAACTCAATGTCACTGTGGCGTGATCTTTACCCTACCATTAGTGCTGATGTTAGGTTTACAAATATGCTAGGTCAATCAGGTACATGAATGTTTTTACAGTATGTGATGTTATGTGGCATCTACATGTGTGTCGAGTTGTTTTATTATAATAAATATATTTCCTTGATATCTTTTATTGTGCAGTTTGTATGCATTTTGTAATGGTTGTTTGAAAGGTCTAGCAGATAATATTAGGTAACATCTTTGTAATTGTATTCCAGGCTCCACTCCTCTGGACTTATTCAAGTTTTATGTAGAAGATCTAAAGGCAAGATTTAGTGATGAGAAAAAGATCATTAAAGAAATCATGAAGGTGAGTTTTGAATTTATCC